CTCCTCCCTTCTTCCCCTCCTTCCCTTCCCTTCCCCCTCTTCCCCTTGGTGAAGGGAGGGTGGGTGCACGTTAGTACTCTACTCACTGACTGCTGCCTGAGATCGTACTGCCGTGTGGATTGATGTGACTGTGCCTACACAATCTATGCTTGATTGTTTCTCTCTACGTCTCTCTCTATCTCTCTCTATCTCTCTCTCTCTCTCTCTCTCTCTCTCTCTCTCTCTGACCTCACGATGTTTTCATTTCGCTGGAACCCTCGTCGTGCGTATGCGTGTTTGTTTATTTGTTTGTTTGTTTGTTTGTCGATGCGACGTATGGCTGCTGTGGCTGATCTGTGATCGTCGACCGAATGCGCGTTTTTTTTTCGTTTCTATTTTTTCCGCCGTTTGCAGCTGCGGAGAGCCTGGCGCCATCTGTGGTGATTTTGCGGTGCTGTCAGTGACTTGCCGTGCCGTGGGTGCCGCCGGCAGCTGTAACGGCGCGCTGTGCACACGTGCGTGCGTACCCCCCTCCCGAGCATTGATGTTTATCGTGGTTGTGTGCCTGCCAGGGTGTTCCTTCCCCAGTGATGAAGGAGTGCCTTGCTGCACGTGGTCTCATGCTCGTGCGTTGTCGTCGTCGATATAGCCATCCTGCTGCAAATGCGTGTGTGTAAGGATGCATAGGGGACGGTGCATCATAGGGGACAGTGCATCATAGGGGACAGTGCATCCACCAACCACCCGTCGTTTAAGCTGTTAGCTATCGGCCCGGGTATCTGACCATTGTCGATATATACCGCGTCGTGGTCGCCGCATATTTTCTATTTTGTACAGAACGTATTTACGCGTATATTACGTGTTTTTGATCGTGTTTGTGTACAGAAATGTGGTTGTTAAGAACACAGGCACTTGGCCGCACCGTCAATAATAAAATGATGGTTAAATAAATACAGACTGTCAGTAGCCTACTACTACAGTACCAGCAATTAGTCTTAATGGTTTTGATTTGACAATACACTTCACTTCAACACCGTTCAATACACCGCTGCAACACATAGCCCGCACGCGCCATTGTGCATTGCACACAATACACAGTAGATAGGAGATAGGTTAAGAAAGCGTGATTCACAAGACAATTCCAGAACGCTCCACTTTTGTCGCAGCACTAGAGGGAGAAAGTAAACGTCAAACGCCATGCATATTGGCATCTGTGTGTAGCTGAATGCATTCACTTGCTTCAAACATATACGATCTTAGCACTTCGGTACCACACACTGTTCCCAGACATTTATGAAAAATCCCTGTTCGAATTTGCCGCCAAATTTCCCAATTGAAGCCGAATTTGTAATAACGGGACAAGTACATGAGCAATGGCGGCGCATTGCACTCTGGAGGAGTTGCATCCGCCTGCCCAACTCCAAAACGAGGCGCTATCGTATTTCGCCACAATAGTGACGTCAGCACGGGCGCACTATCGTGATTGGTCAAAGGGATATAAGAATAGAGCAGTTAGGATTTCCGGCATGTTGGCTCCCGCTTACAAATCGGCTTCATGCGGAAATTTGCGGCCCAAATTCGAACAGGATTTTTCATATAATTCTGGAGGAAGTGTGTGTGGTACCAAGCTGCAAGACGTATATTTCGAACAAGTGATCATTCAGCTACACAAAAGATGCAATATCATGGCGTTTGGACGTTTATTTCTCCTCTTGTGCTGCGACAAAAGTGAGAGCGTTCTGGGAATTTCTGTGATCACGCTTTCTTACCTTCTCCTATCTACTGCTGTATTTGTGCATGCACCAATGGCGTAGCGCGTCTATGGTGTTGAGCGGTGTATTGAACGGTGTTTGAAGTGAAGTTATTAGGTCAAATCAAACATTAAGACTATTGCTGGTACTGTAGTAGTAAGCGCTACTGACAAGTTGTATTTATTAACCATCATTTTATTATTGAAACGGTCCAAAGTGCCTGTGGTTAAGAAAAGGGGAGTCGGGTGATTCTAGGTAGACGTGTGAATGCATCGTGTAGCAGGGTGTTCGCGTTGTCATTCATGTGGTCATCTGTAATCGAGGGTGGAGTCCGTGTTGCAGCTAACGAACACCGACCCTCCCTCGAAACGTCGCGTAGTATGAACCAACGTTGTACAAAAAGCAGTGAAAATGTTTGAGAGTGACTATCATGACTTTGGTGGCGGGTTGCAGCCTGGGGTGGTGTGGGGCTCGCGTCGTGGGGGTGGGGCTTGCGTCGTGGAGTGAGGGTAGTACTGACGCGCTGCTTGCCATGTGTTTGCAGGTGACGCCGTGCCGCAGTCTCCGCAGATGTTCCCGTACGTGATCCAGCCGCCGGCGACGCCCAACATCCCACAGCTACCAGAGGGCGTTGCCATGCCGCCGCTGCGGGGTTCCGCCCCCTCCTCGCTCGCAGAGATGGCGCCGGCGATGGCCCAGCTCGTCGAGGTGGGGTCACGCTACGGTCGCCCGCCGCTCTGTGGTCTGCAGCAGCAGTCGTCGCTCAGCCAGACCTTCCCCAGCATGGCGGCATCGACCCCGCTCGCCGCGCTGCGCGCCCCGCCGCCGCTCATGTCCCAACCCGTCACGAGTCTGTCACAGATGGTGTCCAGCCTGCCCGCGGGCGGGACGCCGCCGCCGCTGCAGCCTCGCGTTGTCACGCCTGTCGCCGCGGCAACGACCCCGCAGCCTCCGTCGTCACGCGACACGCCCGACTCGCTCACGCCGCCGCTCTCTCACCCGTCGGGGTCGTCACCGGGTCGCGTTGCCGCGGCGACGGCGTCGTCGTCCTCCCCGGGGCGCGCTCCCGCGGTCTCGCCCGGGCAGCAGCAGCAGCGGGTGTCGCCGGCGGGGGCGGGGCACGGGCGTGCGTGCAGCGCGTCGCCGGGGCAGGGTCGCGCTACGAGCGTGTCTCCCGCACGCGCCGCCAGCACGTCGCCGGGGCAACGCCGCGTCTCACCCGCTCACAGCCGCGCGGCGGACGCCTCCCGACGCAACGGGTCGGTGGAGCCGGACGCTGGCCAGCAGGGGGCGCCGGACGCAGCGAGGGAGCGGATACCACAGGTGGGTGTGCGGGAGCGCACGATTGGTTGTAGCTAGCCATCAGGTTATCGCGTTCTCTTGTGTAGAATTAGCTGGACGTCGGGGATGAATTCTGATGGTTTTGTTATGATATGCGGACCCACCCACAAATGTCAAAATCTTCAAAACGTAAAACAATTGATACTGAGATTTTAAAATTCCATAAAAAAGATTCAGAACATGACTGTTATAACGTGTAAGTACGAGTGTGTCGTAAAACAAGAGTTGGGTGAGGAATCTGTAGTGAGATGCACCCGTGAGATTCTCAGGATTTCTCGTTAATTATGTCAGTTCTTCGTTCCATGCTCGTTAATTACGTCAGTCCTTCGTTACATGCTCGTTAATTACGTCAGTCCTTCATTCCATGCTCGTTTAATACATCTAGCAGAGATGCCAACCACTACGATTTATCCGTATTTTATACGAATTTCTATTCCTTTTGCACCACTACGGCCAGTTTGTATCAAACTACGAATTTCACTGTGACCGAGAAAAATTGTTTTTTGTCAATTTATTGTCATTATTGACCCTCAGAATGCAGGAAATTGCATCTCAGAATCAAAATTTTTTCCGGGGGCATGCCGGACCCCCCTAGCAAATTTGATGGCCAGAAACTACAGATTGCTTCAAATATGTGTTGGCATCTGCATCTAGCATCGTAGCACTCTCTCGTCTCATGCGCGCGTCAATGCTACAGGTTGATGGCGCCGGCAACGACTGGATTCCACAGCTAGATGGCGCCGGCGATGAGAAGCAGGAACAGCCGGCGGTTCCGCTACGGGTGGCGCCACCGTCCGTCGTCGTGAAGCGCGACGCGGCGGCCGACGAATCGGACGACGAGACGCGTGCCGACGGTGGCGCCATCGTCATCGCCACGCAGCAGTTTGTCCACGACTACGCCAAGTCAGAGCCAGGTGGCGCCACGGGTCCGGCGACGACGAGTAGCGTCCGCGCCACCTATGCAGCGACGACGAGCGTCGCTAGCGCCACCTACACGGCAACGATAAGCACGACTAACCCGGCGATGGTGACCACGGCAACGAGCGCCGCTAGCGCCACCTACCAGCAGCCTGCGAGCGCCGCTAGCGCCACCTACCAGCAGCCTGCGAGCGCGAATGATGGACACACTGTCAGTGCCGCCCAGTCAGCGATGACTGCAGGTGACGCGTCAGTGTCACACGTCGTCACATCTGAGAGGGATGCGGTGTCCCACACTGTCAGCTCTGATAAGGATGCGGTGTCCCACACTGTCAGCTCTGTGGAGGATGCAGTGTCCTGCGTGGCCACCAGCAGCAGTCCTGCAGTATCAGCTGTCCCGCCACCTACAAGCAGTGTGTCGCCGGTGGATCAACCCACAGCTGTCAGTGATGTGCCGGCGTCCCTCCCTACATCTGTGAACGTATGCCAACCTACAGCAACTAGCAGTGTGCCGGTGTCTGACCCCATACCTGCCAGTGTTACGGTGTCCCACCCCACGCCTAGCACTGTATCAGTGTCTAACCCCACGCCTAGCAATGTATCGGTGTCCCACACCACGGTACCCATTGATGTGCCGGTGTCTGTTACCACAGCACCTACTAGTGTGGCAGTGTCCCATCCCACAATAACTAGCAGTGTGTCAGTATCCCAGCCTACACCTGCCAATGTTTCAGTGTCCCTCCCCACACCTAGCAGTGTTTCAGTGTCCCTCCCCACACCTAGCAGTGTTTCAGTGTCCCTTCCCACACCTAGCAGTGTTTCAGTGTCCCTTCCCACACGTACGAGTGTTTCGGTGTCCCAACCCATAGTACCTACTAGTGTATCGGTGTCCCACACCATGCCATCTAGTAGTGTGCTAGTGTCCCAGCCTACAGCAGCCAGCAGTGTATCGGTGTCCCACCCCACAACCACTAGCAGTGTTACAGCACCTTGTCCCACAGTGTCTAGCAGTGCGTCAGTATCCCAGCCTACACTTAGCAATGTATCGATGTCCCACACTACACCTGGGCAGGTTTCGGTGTCCCACCCCACACCTAGCAGTGTTCCAGTCACCATCCATACACCTGGCACTGTGTCAGTGTCCCACCCCACACCTACTATCACTGTGTCGGTGTCTGTCCCCACAGCAACCACTAGTGTATCAATGTCCCTCCCATCTCCTGCCAGTGTTTCAGTGACCATCCCCAGATCTGCCAGTCTATCAGTGTCCCTTCCCACACCGAGCAGTGTTTCAGTAGCCCATCCCATATCACCTACGAGTGTATCGGTGTCCCACACCATGCCATGTACTGCATCGCTGTCCGTTGCCACGGCAACCGCCGGCATCTCGTCCGACCTCTCCGTGTCCGCAGCATCCACCGCCACCGCCAGTTCTACGTCGACCGTGGCTCCCTCTGATGGCAGCACGATGGGCGGCGCGGTGGCAGGGGTGGAGCTGGGTGTGGCAGGGGCGGAGCTGGGCGTGGCAGGGGCGGGGCCAGGCGTGGCCACGACGCGACCCCCGCACATCTCGCGTCTCGAGTGGAAGATCTCCGCTCTGCAGGCGAAGGTGACGCGCGAGGACGCGCTGGCTCACCCGCCAGGGGGCGCTGCCGCCGCCGCGGGGGAGACGACGGTGAAGATGGAGGAGCTTGAGCAGGGGGAGACCTGCCAGAGGGCGCTGTACCGGCCGTACGAGGACACGCCCCCGCCGCCGCCGCCGGCCGCCGGTCATCCTCACGGCAGCGACGATGACCGCCGCGAGATCAAGATAGAGACGGACGACGCCGCGGTGGTGCCCCCCGGCGGCGCCGTATCGTTCTCCGTCACGTCGATGCTGACCGCGCCAACGACGACGACGACGACGACGACGACGACGGAAACAAGTGAGCGTCGGGCGGCGACGGCGGGGGGCGGGGCGCCGGTGATTGCGGAGGTGCGGTCAGACCCGGAGCTGCTGACGATGCACATGACCGGAGCCTGCGAGAACGGCAAGACGGAGGGTCAGCAGTTGGAGGAGGAGGAAGAGGAGGAGGAACTGAAGGAGGAGGAGACGGGCGGTGGCGATGCCAAGGACCGCGCGGAGTCTGTCGGCGATCGACCGGCGACAGGTGAGGCGGCGGCAGTCTAGAATCACGCGCTTCGCTTCACGTCGAATGATGATGTGAAACGCATCGTGTCGGTGATGTGATCACAGATGTGTGAGAGAGTGGCTAGAAGACGACTCATAGTGGAGAGTAGTATGATAGTAGTATATTATTAGTATAGTAGTATAATAGTAGTATATTATTATTATAGTAGTATGATAGTAGTATATTATTAGTATAGTAGTATAA